TATCAGAGATACTCTTCTAGTGATCTGGCATGACAAGTTCTTCCCTGTAAGTGCTGCTTCCTAAAGGTATTGGATAAGCTTCTTCAGCCATGCAGTATGAAAAATCCAACTGTACTTTTTTTTCCAGTTATACACACATAGTAAGCTAGTTAAGATCAGAAAAAAATATTGTATTTCAGTAGCTGAAAAGCAAGGATGAAGCATATCTCATTGCATGCCAAAAGCCATATTTTGTTATTGCAGAAGACAGCAACCAGGTCACTTTGGTGTAATTCGGCTATATGTGTTTTACTATTCACTTTTAATCAACTACAGTTGACTGAAATACATTTAGTGGGACAATCAGATGCTGAAGACTGATACAGAGTTTCTTGTATTTGTCTATTTCCCTGGCATCACAGTGGTTTCTTTTGATTTTTAGACAGTGCTGCGAGTAGCTCGCTAAATGTCATAGTCAACTACATTTCTAAGAGGCCATGTATCTTGAAGACTCATTGAGATCCATGAGTCCTTTTCAAATCTTCAGTGTTCTTTCCAGCTATCGCTTACTATACCCGTTCTGCGTGCCAAGGTTTTGTACTGTGATAATAGATTGTAACATTCCCAATAAAACAGAGAAATCTTCTTTAAAGTTCTTTTGCTGATCACTTGTCCCAATAAGAACATTGCCATCAATAAGCAGCATACCAGCCATATTCCACCCTCCAATCTTAAATCACATGCCAAGGATCCAATGTGGCAAACCACTGGTGGAACATAGAGGTTTATAAATTCACTTACAATGCTGGATGCAGTAGAGGCAGAGGCAAATTGACCAAGGACCCAGGCAATCTGCCCAACTGTAACTGTGCAGCCACAGAACAGGATACCATTCCTTCCTCTGCTCACAGCTGTACTGATCTTCCACCACTCAAGGCAGAGCCAGCTTTTATGCTGGTAACTTGGAGGCGGGACACCTGATGGTAATGCTAAAGGAAGGGCACCTGGTGGTGATCTAACTGGTTGCCATCCAAGGCTGGCCAGACCCTGGGTGAAAACCAATCGGGAAGGTCTTTCTTGCCTGGTTGTGGACATCATCCACATGTCAACTCTTATTCAGGGATGGGGCTTTAAACCCCAGCACTTCAAAAGTACACAACATTCAGTATTGGAATGTTATTAAGCCCCCAAATTTTATTATTAAGAAAAACCTATAGTAAATAAAATAGGACAAATACATCACTTACAAATGTTGTAAAAAATAATTTGATAATTAAAACTGAGATATTAATCTACATCAATAAAAAAGACAAAGAGAAGTAAAGTAAAATCACACCATCACTTAGTGTTTATATTGATAGACAGACTGGCTACATAATGATATCTTCAAAATTCTTACTGTCTAGTTCACTATATTTTTGCAGTGAATAAAAATATCAACATTTTAGCTTTAACTTGCCTTAAATAAAAACTGTGAGTTTTCTACACGCAAACATTTTGATATAAACAAGAAAGCAAAACAAAAGTTTCTTTGCCAGACAAACATATTCACTTGCTTGCCATAGAGAGCTACCAAATACAAGTGGTAGTCACAGAAATGAGGTCTACACCAAGGCTAAAATTTATCTTTTATGTCCTTTTCTACATACTGCAGAGCTGCTAGCATTCACTTCCAAATTATTTTTTGAGTAGTTCATGATGTCCTATTCCTCTACATAATAAAAAACCTACTTGTGTCTCCTGTGCTGTTATGTATTCTGGTTTCTTCAGTCCAACATGCTGAATGTGTCCCAAGACTGGGTTCTTAAATTATTATTAGGTATTCCTTTTAATGTTGGGAGTTTATCAGCCAATATGTAAAAAAAAATTAGGTTCTTTAGTCTATGATCACAAAGGTTGCTGGACTGTGCAGCATCTGGATGGGAGTTAAAACTTTAAAAAAAAAGTCATGACTTATCTAAAGTTTCACAGATTAATATGCTTTTATATTTAAAAATATATTCAGGCTAATCCTTTGTTAACATTCTGCACGTGTGTTTATATGCAGTTTAAGAGAGTCATAAAAATAATAAAATGTCTCTACATATTGGAAGAATTGGTGAAAGTCCCACTAGAATAATTATCAAAAGGTTTGTATAAATGTACTGAATAAGTGCTGAATGTACTAAATGAGAAATTAAAGGATTCTGGGATTATAGTGTGGCCACATAAAATCATTTGTATATTATATGCCCATGAATGACATCAGTTCCATGTAAACTCTAGTTAAAGAGAAGCATTGGATCCTTCCTTGGAAGCTGTTGGCAAAAGAACCCCAAAACCCATAACTGACAGGTAATATGGCTGCTACATTAATTTTGTGTCTGTTTACTTATCTAATAAAATGAGCAGACCTGTTTTTGTGTAAGAAGGTTTCTGGCAAGTAGCTATCAGCTTAGAAGTGGAAAAGTGTTTTTTCTCTTAAGAGGAGGAAAAGTGTGTATGTATCAAACAATTAAAATAAGAAGTACTGGTTTTAACCTCCATCTGTGCTCCAGACCCTTGGCCGTGAGCACTAGCACCATACAGTACAGGCTGCTTGGTAGGCTTTGTTTTGTCCTGGGGTCAGAGAGAACCCAGAAAGGAAGAAAGAGAAAGAAAGATTAATCTGATAAAGGCATTGCCATTTCTAATCGAACTGATGGGAAACTGCGGTATGAAGTTAAAGAGGCAACACAGGGTGAATTACTGTGATGAACTACCTTAAAGCTGAAGCAATCAAATAGATAGCTCTCACATATAAAAATCACTGTGGCATCTTTATTCATCAACAGTTTTGCACAAGTGTCTCGTGGTCAATCCTTTCCATGAGCAACCAAAGCACTCCGATACATTTGATCAGATTAAATCTTATCAGAGAGACTCTCTCCACTGAGGTGGCTGCTTCTCACTTCCCAGAGTTAATTTCTCATTGCCTTGAAGAAGAATAAACTTTTCAAAGCCTAAAAAATTACAAACTCCAAACAGTAACAACAATACAGCCCAGTGTCTGCACTCATAACCTCCTGTACTGGAATCAAAAGTGCTTTTACTCTTATGCATGATAGCAGTGAAACTTTTTCACATAGGCTGACAGCTGAAAACCTGTGGAAGTGAAATTTGTGACCCTTAGTTCGGACAGTAATATACAAAGGGAAAACTCATAGAGGTTTTGTGCATAATTGTAGAGGACAAAGGAACCACATAAAATTCAGTGGGAAAAAGCCTAACACTGAGTAATAGATAAACAGATCTATTTGATTCAAATACAATCAAATGATGTGAAAAGCAAACATGGTATCCCAGAGAGTTCAGCGTAAATCTCCTGTAAAAATCCAATCACGTGATTTTAAGAATTAGCTTATTATTTGCTCTTAAATTGTGAAGTCTTCCCACAATGAAAGAATTCAATTCTTTGACTCTTTGAAGTTATCGGGCTCTGAAGATACTCAATATTTTGCAGGACTGCATGCTGGCAAACACAACAAACAAATACCAGTTTTGTGTGATCGAATGTGTTCTTTGTCAAGTATCACATGATTATGTACCCATGTATCAGTCTTCTTAACACAGGATTAGGAGTAAATATGCAACTATTGATAAAGAAAAGTAAGTCAATAGAGAAAAACTGATCGAGTAATTAGGTTTCTATGTTGTGAGAACTTTTCAACACTGATTTTGTATCAACCACAGAAGAGCTAAAAGCATTTAAAATAGTATCTTCCATGTAAATATACTATCCTGTACTTCTGAAGAGATGGATCAATATCCAAAATGGGCATATACTAACACTGAAAATTAGTGAACAACAATGATGAAATAGATAGATTTATGGCTGTGAGAAAAAAAACAACAGATACAGATTTAAAACTTTTTTTCTTTTTTTTTAAGTGTTAACCTCACTTACAAATCCACAGTAAATACAGTGTGATTCCAAGTCTTTTATTTGATTACTCTGGTTATGTATCTTGAAGGATTTACATTAATTTTTTTTTTTTTTTTTTAAATCTTGGAAGCTGTATTGTTTAAATATCAAGCAAAATCAATTATACTATGGCAGACATAGTATACATCACTTCATAGAAAGCTGTTGCATGAAGGGGAAGGGGTAGGTGTGAGTAAGGGGGAGACAAATTTGGTAAGAGACAAATCCTCTTGCTTTCTAGCCAGTCTTCAAATATTAGAGGGGCTAGGGGTGGATGAACTTGTCTCTTAATAAGTACCAATTAAAGACATGACTATAGGTCCGACACCAGGTGCACGAACAGCCTGTGGCTGTAGGTAGGTCCTGGTGCATTCAACAGCGGCCGTTGGATTCATGACTAGCACGGGTTAGTTACACCCAACATACAGATTCTTTGTGATTGCCAGTGATAAATACACTAAGCTGCAGACTAGCTATATAGCTCTAAAATGCAATTGCAATTACAATAATAATAATCTCCCCAGGAAAAATCACCTGGTCGAGCTGAGGCTGCAAATCCTACCCAAAGGCGTCCCTGCTGGGGCGAGGCGAAGAGAACAAACCCCTTGGGCTGTCCCTATGACTTGGTGCTGAATTCTCATCCCACAAACTGGGTCCAAAAAGGAATAATATTTAGATCTTTTCTTTGTTCCTGATGTTCAAAATGTGGGGATGGGGCTGTGGGCAGACAACTATTCATTGTAATTAGCACAAAACTTCCTTATCTTCACCTGCAGAGAGTAGACAACTGCCATGAGCCAGGTGGGAGAATGGGGCAAGCAGACTCCACTGCATTCCACATTCCCCATCAGGGCCTCAAGGACACGGACCACTGAACCTCCACTCGGCCCCCATGTGCGCCCTGGCACCAGATGTTTGTTGTCAGTGTTGAGCTTTGTGATTTGTGCTAGTTTTGTGCTTCCTGGGTCTGACAAAAGCAGACTTTATGGGACATTCAGTCAACATTCTGCTGTGCATTTGCTGAAATACATTTATTGATTCTTACCAGGTATCTTAGATAGTGTAGTTTACAGGACAGTTACACTATTTGCCCAGCTCTGGAATAAGTTTTTCCAAACTTTTCAAAGAGAGCAATCGATGGTAACACTGTCTGAAAGTCCTAAAGAAAAAAAGAGAGACAAAAAATGTTGTTTCTCTTTCAAGGTTTTAACTTCTTTTTTTAAAAAAAAAATACTTTTCTTTAGGTATTTTAGAGCTCTAAATATAGTCTTCTAGTTATATGTCATTACGAGTTAGAATGCAAATTATGCAAAATAATGTGTATGAAATACATTTTTATATTATATACACACTACTTTGAAGAAGAGCACAAGAATCAACTGATTTAATTACAAGCAAATACGTGTTTCAAACTCCAAGTAACTCTAGGCACTACAAAAATTCCGTGATCCAAAAAATAGATTTTATAGTCCTTTGCAAATCATGGTATACAAAATTATATCATCCTCCCTGGCTACCAGGCAGATTAAAGATAGCAAGATATCCTTGCATTATTTTAACTTTTCTACCTTGGTCAACTTTAAAACATGGCTATTAAACCAGCTCCATGAAAAATATTAAATAAATAGTAGTGACGACAAATTTATTAGGAGTTCTGGTAGACAAATACAAGCAGGGTGACTCCTGAATATGTTTTTTTTCCAGGAACAGTTCTAGGTTGTTACTTTTTTTTTTTTAAATGCAAATGCCTACAAATTTAAATTGAATAAGAGAAATGCAAGTGAACTTGTGCCTTAAAAATACAGTGTGAATACAGTCATCAGACAAGAAAGTAAAATAAGCTAAGTATTCTACACAATATTTTGATTTAGCTTCTTCCTAATAAATGCTCATGGTAAATGATTCCATGGTATTTGAGACCAAAGGTTTAAACATTCTTAATAAAATTATTTTCTTGACGTTGAAATACTTAGAACAGTTTTGCATTTAAATTATTTTCCCCTTCCAAAAGTAGAATGCCACAAAAAAACCATTGGCTTTCCTGGACCTCATGATTAATTTTTAAGACAGAAGGTGGTGTGAACACTTCCTACTGTTTTCTTTTTTTCAACACAATGCTCTGTGAAAGTGCATGGGAATGCAATGTCTTCAGAAAATGTCTGAGGTCATGAGTGAATAAAAGCTAAATTTTTAACCTTTTCAATACATTTCACAATTAGAAAGGTTTGGTTTTCTCTTAAAAACAGAAATAAAACTTTTTTTTTTTTTTTCCTGAAAAGTGACATGAAGCAGAATTACCATTCCCTGGATAATTTAGATTTAGCCGCTTTACAGACCACAGTTCAGCTGAATCTCCATAAACGACCAAGCAACTATGACTTCTAGCAAGCTTCATGCAAACACTGACACGGCCCATGTGAGTTTCTTCTGCACTGCATATTGCCAAACTGTGTCCATATAATTTCTTACATCTCATAATTAAAGTTACTTGGTATGATTCCTCCATCATTCAGGTGCATAAATCTTAAAATAGCAAGGTAGACACATACATTCAAAATTAAATACTTCCTGTGTGGTATGCAAGTGAGTATTGCCCCATTCATAACTGTTCACAAGATTTAATTTTTAATGTTTCTCTGTGCCTTGTACCGCTCAGTATCTTACCTAACAGAAACAGCCTATTTGCATATTTTCAAATTCTGCTTTAAGAATGGCACAGTGTTTTAATTTTCCGTGTGTGTTTGGCATCATAAGCACTTTCCTACCACAGGAAAAGTTGTCCATATAATTATTAAAATAAATATTATTATAACTCCAGCATAATTGCAAATAGTTTCCTTCTAAAGTGAAGCTAGTTATATTTAATTTAGTAAATTCACAAGGCTAATATTGGTCATGGGAATGGGAAAGAAACAAAACAAAACAGCTGTAGCTGATGAAAAAGCTATAATTTAGGATTAAGCAGTAATTCAGAGCAGAATACAGTATCCTTCATTTTGAAAATAGGAAGTATATTTTTAATTTACATGCCAGGAGAGTTAGGTAGAGTTTAATAAAAAATGGAGTGAACTTGGGGTGAGATGAGGAGACATCCTGCGCATCAGGATAAAATCAGGAACAGTAAATCTGAGCATTGAAGAGGTCTTCATTTGCCAGAGCAGACGGCTTTTGCTATTAGGATGCCTGGCCAAACAAAAACAATTGGCTGCCAAAATTAGCTCCTTGGGACGATTTAGGAGCCTTTGAAGTGAACAGTTTTTTGAGCTGGAACTAAGCCCAGGTCCAGCTTCAAACTCAAATCAAAATGACAAAGAGGAAATATTCTGTGCCACACGCCCCCTCAGTGTAAGATTACTTTGGGTTGGCAGCTGTACTGTTTATCTTGTTATTTAAAGCTATTTCACTAGATGCTCACAACTGGGCATTTAAACAACTGGCTCTGATTATGACGACAGCAGTTATGTTTGACCACATCTAGGAAACATCGCATGGTCTGATGGAAAAATAAAAGTGTTGCAGGCTTTACAGTTAGACTAATTACAGAAGTTTAGAATCTGTACTAAATAAATGTTGCACAGCACACATGTAAAATATAAATATCCTTTTAGGAAAAGAACTCCAGCCATTTCTGTATTTGAGACACAGATTTTAATCAGGTTTCAATAGCATGGGAAATAAGGCCTGAAATTACCACTTGGATTTGGAAGATCTATCTCACAGCACTGAGGACAGTCTGTATCATCGTAGCAGCATAAAGGGAAAGGAATTGGAAGCAAAGTTCTCATCTTTATCTAATTTGATGGTAAAATGTAGGTTGAAATCATGCAGTGAAGCACAACGATGCACTGCCAATTGATTCTGGTAAACCACAAGGATCATCTGGAGTTTAAGCTGATTATTACATAGCATAGAATTTGTGAAGTTATATAGATAATCCTTTTGAAGCTGTGAGAACAAAAGCATATGGAGAAAAACAGGCTTCTTCAAAATTATTCTCCCTGTCAATCCCTCATTGTTGGTAGCTGGAATGAATTAGTGTATAAATAGGAATTCCCACATATTGGTGAGATTGACCCTGCAGTTCTGCAGTCTCAGGATCCTAGAAGCATGCAGCTGAGCATTATGGGATTTTTCAAAAATGTATTCTTAAATCATGACATGTAATTCTCAGCATCAGAGACCTGTAATTCTAAGGGCCGAGATCTACTTTTCAATTTCCAACCAGAGTTAATATAACACTTTCTTTTTAAACTTGTCAAGCTTTGACTCCTTTCACTCGAGTAAATTATAAGTGACTCAAGTTCAACTGACAGAGCTTAACAAGACCTATGGACCTTTTCAATATATTTGACTACCTGACTGTCATGTCTGCTCATCAGTTCTAAATAGTGGAGTCAAAAAGGTGACATAAAGCCACCAAAGATTTGTCTCAGTCAGCACACTCTGATGTCATAGATTAGACATGCCAAATGCTCACATAGTTTATCTTTGGAATGTTGTTATTAAAGTCAGTTCTAAAGAGATTTTACATCTGAATATGCAGGCATAGATAAAAATACAGACCATGTGCAAACAACATTGGCAAAACAAAGAGACCTTGTAGATCTACATATCAGCTTGAAGACCTTTGAAAATGTGCTCCTGCGTATTCTAGTGACAAATTTGCACTAACAGTCTTTCTTTTCAAACAATTTTGAAAGTACTGTACAATTTCCTGTAATATGAAAATGCACTTTGGAATAAGATAGGAATTACTATTAAGTATCTTCTTGGAAATGTAATGAAGTAGAAAATCAACTCCTTCAGACCAAAGCAAGGATAGGCAAACAGCAGTAGCAGATCTATTCACAGATTTTAATGCCAGAAAGTACCACTATGACCATTTATTCTCAGCTTGTGCATACACACTTTGGGTAATTCCTATAGCAAAACTATCAAATCTGTAATAATTATGAAGCCACTGAGCACGTGGTAAACTTGGAATGATAAGTTTACAATAAACATCTGATTTAAAGTTTTCAATAGTATCTCTGTAACAAAATTTCATTTTGTTGCATAAATAGAGATTTGGTTGCATAAATGGAAATTAAAGTCGCATTAGGTTGTATGAATGCAGATTTACTTTGTGGGTTTGGGGAAATAGCATGTGAAGATCTTTCAAAGATAAATTGTATAACTTCTCTAATCAAAAGTATTCTAGCTATAGCATGGATTCAGAGCACCAAGTCCTCTTCTGAGCAAATCTAACAATACTGAAGACAGTGTATTATTGCATGTTGTCAACCACGACACCGCGTGCTATGCAAAAGGCAAACCAATCCATGAAATTTTTGGATTCTAAAAACTTTTTGTAGTACTGGGATTATATGTGTTGCTCCTATAGAGACCTACAACTGTATGTAACTTGTGTTAAGGATCAATGACAGGGAGAATAACTGAAAAGTGCACACAGCTGCTAGAATCTTAATTCTATCTTCATGCTACTGAATAGTAAAAACAGGGAAGAAAACTCACTTTTCCTCAGCTTGAAACCAACATCCATAACTACACAGCAGGACTTTAGAAGATGCAATGGGAAATTCTGCATAAATGTCCATGCGGTATTTATGTCTTTAATGTAGGGTAAGCTCGCTGAGCAATCTTCCTTTCCCCACAAAGCTGGGAGACACCTCATGTGCACACCTCATTTGAAAACCAGGCGGAACTGTCAAGTGCCACTGTACAGTCATAGTCCACAACCCCCTCTGTTTAATACTAAGTGGTCACATTTAAGTATTCCCTATGATCCTAATGTTTGTAATAGTAAAATTAGAGTTTTAAATTGAGCTGTCATAGTAAGCCTCCTGACCTATTAATAGCCATGGAGGTCTCTTAACAAGGAAGCAAAATAGAAATGCCAAGCTGTTAGACAAGTAGAATGTTGATCCAGCTAACTTTTATTCTTAGCAAATTTATCAATACTGGTTAACTATACTTCCAACTAGTATAGGGCCTTCTGACATGACAAAATGAGTGCAACAACCCATTCTGTCAATACAACACAAATGTCATTTCAAGTGCTCAAAACCCACTAAGCTACCCTAAAAAAGATTGATTTATCTGCTCCAGTGTTTCTTTGGGGCAAACTTTTCTCACAACTGAAACCAATTAGTGGGCCTG